CCCCCAAAAAAAAAAACCATTGGGGAAAAAATTCTGTTGAGGAAAGAAAAAGGGGAAGACTGAAGTTATTGAGCAAAAATAAAGGGGAGGACCCCCAACAGTTAAGCTAAAAAAAATAAAACAGCATTAAACAGCATGGCCCCTTTAAGAAGAGGCTTTAGGCTTTTTGCCAGCAGCCTTCTTGTTTTCTTGATCGGAGCCAGAAGGCAGCTTCCCTGCAGAACCAGGTAAGTGGGGGGTCTGGGAGGGAGTGCAGGGGCCTGGGGAGGGGGCGGGGGCTGGGCTCGGTTGCTGAGTGTGTGTAGGGTTGCCAGGTGTCTGGTATTTTTGCCTCCTGGTGGGGAAAAAAAGATCAGAAAATACTGGACATTTTAGGTGTCCAGTATTTTCTGATTTTTTTTACCGGACAGAAGGCAAAAATACTGAACTGTCTGGGTCAATATCAGACACCTGGCAACCCTATAAATGCAGCAGTTATTTTTGGAATAAATGTTGGCACAGAGATTTATGAAAAGTGGAAGATGAGAGAGGAAGGCGTTACTGTTACTAACACAGGGACCGGGTTTTGAGTAGAGGACAGAAACAAACAGATTGAAATTAAAAGAAAGGACGGACATCTTAATATTCAAGAGGAAGAAGCAACATGATTTAGCAAGAGCCAGGATATTGATGGAGTAAAGAACTTACCTTCTTGTTATTGCTGTTTCTGTTTTGAAACGGTCGTTGCAATACTTCAATTGAAAGGTTTTCTAATTTCATTGTAATTTTTGTACACACGTAAGGAGCTTTTGATTAGATAAAACTATTATTTATATTGCAGTAGCACCTAGAGTGTGTAAAGAGCCAAACAGACCTCCAGGAAAACGTTTCAATATTTGTTATTTCCCCCAAAACGACTCTTCCTGAATTACAGGAGAGATGGTTGTGTTTCCTATAGTAAGAGTATTCCAGGGGGACTATTTTTGTTTACATCTGGAAGCACTACAGGGTTGTGATGTGACCTTATTTAAGATGCAGACCTAAATATTTAGTTTTCAGGAATTCCATTTATATTCAGTTCTTCCAGCTTTATTGCCACCTCTGTTTGGTCTGCTATTATTCATCTCTATGGTACTGAAAAAGTGTTTTTGACTCTTAGCTCATCCCAGACTTGCTGATTGCATTACCCTGAGTATTCCAATGGATGTATGATTTTAAATTGAAACTAGTTATATTTTGCAGATTTTGTAATTATTGTCCTTTTAGAAGAAGTCACAATAGTACAGGGGTGGCCAACCTAAGTTTGCAGAAGATACCAAGCTGGGAGGGGTTGCAACTTCTCTGGAGGATAGGGTCATAATTCAAAATGATCTGGGCAAATTGGAGAAATGGTCTGAGGTAAACAGAATGAAGTTTAATAAAGGCAAATGCAAAGAGCTCCACTTAGGAAGTAACAATCAGTTTCACACATACAGAATGGGAAGCGACTGTCTAGGAAAGAGTATGGCATAAAGGGATCTAGGGGTTATAGTGGACCACAAGCTGAATATGAGTCAGCAGTGTGATGCTGTTGCAAAAAAAGCAAACATGATTCTGGGATGCATGAACAGGTGTGTTATGAGCAAGACACGAGAAATCATTCTTCCACTCTACTCTACGCTGGTTAGGCCTCAGTTGGAGTATTGTGTCCAGTTCTGGGCACCACATTTCAAGAAGGATGTGGAGAAACTGGAGAGGGTCCAGAGAAGAGCAACAAGAATGATTAAAGGTCTAGAAAACGTGACCTATGAAGGAAGGCTGAAAAAATTGGGTTTGTTTAGTTTGGAAAAGAGAAGATTGAGGGTGGACATGATAACTGTAAGGAGGAGGGAGAAAACTTGTTCATCTTGGCCTGTGAGGATAGAACAAGAAGCAGTGGGCTTAAACTGCAGCAAGGGAGGTTTAGGTTGGACATTAGGAAAAAGTTCCTAACTATCAGGGTAGTCAAACACTGGAATAAATTGCCCAGGGAGGTTGTGGAATCCCCATCTCTGGAGATATTTAAGAGTAGGTTAGATAAATGTCTATCAGGGATGGAGACAGTACTGGGTCCTGCTAGGAGGGCAGGGGACTGGACTCGATGACCTCTCGAGGTCCCTTCCAGTCCTAGTATTCTGTGATTCTATGATTCTAAACCTGAGAGAGCCAGAATTTACCAATGTACATTGCCGAAGAGCAACCGTTATGTCACCAGCCCTGATCATCTCCCTACCACTGCTCTCAGCACATCCTGCCCACTGGCAGCCCCACTGGTCAGTGCCTTCTTCTCCTTTTTCTCCTGCCCGCTGGGATCAGCTCTTTCTCAGTGGGAGACACGGGAGGGGGGAAGCATGGGTGTAACAGGCTCACTGGAGAGGGTAGGAAGTGGCAGGAAGCTAGGGGGAGAAAGGGTGGAGGGGGACAGCGCCTAGGGCAGAGCTGGGGGTGGAACAGTGAGCACCCCCCTTGCCCAGTGGAAAGTTGTCACCTGTAACTCCAGCCCCTCCTTTGCAGAGTTTGCTGGAAGGTGAGTGGTGCGGCAGGTGGCTGCTCTGGCGGGCGGGGCTGGAGGAGACTTTGTGGTGGGGGGTGCTATCAGGGGAGATGGGGCTTCCTCTGGCAACCGGGGCCGCTTAGTGGGAGAGCTGTGGCCTGTTGTGGCCATGTTGTTTGGAGGGGGACCAGGGCCTGGTCCGC